AAAAAAAAAAAAAAATTAATAAAAAAATAAAAAAATAGAAACATTATTATATATTATTCGAAATAAAAAAAATAGAATTATTGCAATTATTATTATATTATATATCATATATTATATATTATAAATTAATATATTTATATATAGTTATAAAATATTATTACAATTTAAAAACATTAATAGATAATAAATGTGTAATATTAAAATTAATTATTATTAAAACACTAAAATAGGAAAAGAAAAAACACGAAAAGTCATATGTGAAAAAAGTCAAAATTATCAATTACTTTGTCAATCTAGTAATCTATATATAATGCTTTAAGTGTAGCGCGACAGCAACAACCAATCCTGAATACAGTAAATCTATAATGCGAAAAAGAAATCGTCGATTGGTCAAAATTCGTACAATAGTGCGGGGGAAGTGAATGTATGTTGGTCTGACTCGAACGCGACTACATCCCCGTGCCAGCGAGCAAGTAGTAACGCTATCGTTAGAATTTTGTCTTTTGTTTAGTTTCTTTATGTTTATTTTTTCGAGAAGAAGTTGAATTTAAGAATCGTGATATTATTGAAACGAACATCTAATGTACGGGGATCTAATAGAAAGTACGCTAGCACCGGTTCCATGCTAGATTTTCAGTGTGCAAGTAGTCGAAAGCGTATTCAGGCAGCCTTCAACGTAAACAAAAATGGAGTTAGGGGAGGGAGAAGCTCAAATTTGTCGACTTTGCGGTCAATGTGAGAGTATATACATTGATGTGTTTGGTGAAGAAGGCACAAAACGATTTTTAGGCTTAAAAATTCATACAAGAATCAACATTCTGGTAAGTACAATATAAAAGGTGTGTCGTGGGGTCCGGGCCCCAATTGTAGTTAAAGGAGGGGGTTAGAAAAATGGCCGGAGGGGCGTAGAGCATATAAAGAAAAAAATATCTTATTTTTTTTTCTTGTTGCATTATATTTTTTAAAAGTTTGATTTTTCTAGTTTTATTATAATATGAAATCCATATTAATATTAAGTTCATTTCTTATATCTCACTGTTTATTTATGTATTTATTTTATATAAAATTGTGAAAAACAAAAGATATAATTTAAATTAAACTTAAAGAAACTGTATAAATTTTTTTGTATGTAAATTAATTGTATGATTTAAGCATGTGTAATATATTTATAAATATGTAATATTTTATACTTGTATGTTGCAATTATATAGTATATAAGAGTGATTATTTTTATTTATTTATAAATCTAAATATTTAATTTATTTATTTATTTATTTTAATATTTATATCTAAATATTTGACATTAAATATTGATATTCCTTATACTATAATTAATTCCTTATACTATATATACTATAATTTTATTTAAAATTTTTTTAAGAATTTTATATTTTGTAAATATTTCGTTTTTCAACTTGATTAATGAAGAAATTAATTTGACTTTTAAAATATTAATTTTTTAATATTTCTTTTAAAAATTTATATAAATATAAGAAAAAATTGTTAATTTAATATTTAATGTTTATATAAAAATTAAGTTTTATTATTAAATATTTATAAATAATTATAAATATTGTATTATAATTATGATTATAAATATTGAAATTAGAAATGTATTAGAGTGGGTATTAGATTATAAGAATTTTCAGAATGGTGTATCTACAGAGCGGTAGGGTTTGAATTATAATATTCATAATTTTTTTTTAATAAAACACTATAGTTTTCCATTTCAATTAAAAATTATAGAGAATCAGATTTTCAATTAAGATTTTTAAAATCACATATATTTAGTATTTAGATATTTTGTTTGAATCGCAGATAGATGAAAGGGATCCTCTGCCCAAGGCGATCTGTGTTCAATGTCTGGGCAAACTCGAATTTGTTTGCGACTTCCAAGAGGAGTGTCTTCGCACCCAACAAGTGTTACGCGATCGATACATTCTACCATCCTTAACAGAGATTGTAAGTTTATATTCAAATTTAATGCATAACTCTACCGCTCATCTATGATGCTACCAAAACAGCTCATTTCTTTTTTTGAATTTTAAATTATATATATTAATTATATATATAAAAAGATATCATCTGGTATTTTGGTTCATAGAAAATTTCAGAAATAATAAAGAAAATTGTACACATTTTATTGAATATATAGTATATGTATATAATAAATAATATATATTATATAATAAAAAATATGTACTATAAATACCAGATTGAATTCATTTGCTTTAATAAAATTAATCAATTTCTAGTACCCACTTTTATTTTTATTTCAATCTATCTTTAGGCTGAAGTAAAGACTGAAGTTACACCAAGTACATCAACATACAATAACAACAATGACACCAATATAAATCTTAATTCTTCAAATGATGAGGACATTCAAAAAGTAGATCAGCATGTTCTAAGAACAACTACAAAAATTCAAAAAAATACGAAAAATCAACAAGTAAAAGGCAATGAAGAAACTTCCAAAGATCAAACTAATATTCAAAATACGAGTGAAAAAAATACTGAGAATGCCCAAATTCAGAAATGTGAGACAACTCCTACACGATGGCTTAGAAGTAGACAAAGTATAGAAACAACTGTTACAAATGAAACAGCTACTGATACACCAATTGCAAATAGACTTAGAAGTCATGATAATACTACTACAGAATTAACTGTTAGTCCACGTAGTTGTTCTAAGGAAAATAGTGAAAAATTGACTGGAAAACAGCAAGATCCACATACTATTCAAATTCCAACATCAGCATTAAATAAACTTCTCAGTATTGTGTCAAATTCTCCAAATATTGAAGTTTCTGTGAAAGAATCTAGAAATCAAAGCAGTGATATTGAAGATATTAGTTTCACTGTAGAATTATGTAAAAAGGAAAGTGATGATATAGCTACTGCTCGAGCACGAGTATTTCCAGATCAAGGTTCCTGTTTGGTTGATAAGGCTATAGTTGGTCTTTTACAAAATCAAAGTTGTGTAGAAGTTAATAGTATAATAAACACAATTATCGATAGTAGTCTGAAAAACGGCAATTCGACAAAATTAGAAGATTCCGCTGAATTTGAGCAAAAATGGCAAGCTTCTCAAAATCCGAAGGAACTTTTCAAGATTGATGGGGAAGAAATTCGTGTCGATGATAACGTTGAACACGTCGTTACAAATAATCAAAATGGTTATTCTTGTAAATTGTGTCGTAAGTTTTATGAACGCAAAGATAAATGTATGGTTCACGTAAAAACACATCTTGGTATTAAACAATACACATGTATTCTATGCAACGCTAAATTTGTATGTAAGTCTGATGTCATGAAACATATTCGATGCACACATACTAATCCGAGACCAATACAATGTCCAAAATGTCCAAAGAGATTCAAGTCAAAGTTCTATTTAATGGAACACGATAATGTACATAAAGGTGTGAGACCTTATTCTTGTACAGATTGCGGTCAAAGTTACCATCATAAAGTATCGTTACAACTTCATATGAAATCACATTTACCTCCGCAGAACTTAGCATGCGAATATTGTGGCAAAGTATTTCCGTATCGTACGAGATTATTAAGTCACATAGCTAGTGTACATTTAAAAAATCGTCGCAATTTTAGATGTCGATTTTGTTACAATCTTTATTCAAGTCTTTCAGTTTTGAATGAACATATTAAAACGCGTCATGCGACTACATATACTTGTGAAGTTTGCAATAAAACATTCAAAGTTGCGTCCAAATATAAGGCTCACGTATTACAGCATTCAAATCCTAAGCCATTCGTATGCAATGTTTGTAATAATAGATATGCATCCAAAGCATTCCTAAATGAACATCTATCAAAACACGAAGGGCTGAGGAAACATATCTGCCAAAAGTGTGGTGCAAGATTCGCTCAAGCTAGTCATCTGGCTGCACATCGGCACGTGCACGGTGAAAAAGAGCACGCTTGTCCGGAGTGTGGGCGAAAGTTTAATAGGCGTGATAACATGAAGGTACATAGAAAAAGACACTTTGAAGAAAAAATAACTAATAATAGCAAACAAAAAAACACTTTTAGTGGCGAGGTAGCTTCTACTACGTCTAATGAAAAGTAATAGTACTGAAATAGCTCTGATATTTTTGTAAAGTTGTGTCTATGCTATATAACAAAATATATTATATAGCAATGTTATATGATTGATTAGAAAAACTGAAAGGATAATGTTATATTTTTCATATTATATATACAACGAATTAGTCAAATATCAGTAGAGATTAAGATCAAAATAAGAGATTGCATCATATAACGCATTGCTATCGATTCAAACAATATAATGTAAACATAAGTTAAAAAGAATTTTTTTTTGAAATTTTTAATTCCAATAATACAATAAAGATGCGAAATTGTATCGAAAACGAATACATTTACATTTTATAAAAGTTATAAGTTATATGAATTTCTCTAATCTTTTATATTTTTATGTTGGCGATAGCGTTGCGTTTTTTCAACAATGTTCTTGTCTTTTCCTTCACAGTTATTCATTGCATTGTATGAATTAATTCTTATCTTAGCAATACAATTTCATTTGATTAATTTTTTAATCTATCAATTCAATTCTATTGACTATCTCAAAACTATTTTTTTTTCATGTAAATCATTATCTTCATAGTCCATTTCCATATCTAATTCAACGTCATCATCAATTTATATATCTATTTCAAATCTGTTTTTATTTAGTTTTAGTACTTATTGTTTTGTTTTTTATTTTAGTTTTTTTTTAAGTTCACATATTATTCAAAAATTATTAGATTGATTATGTTTCTTGTATTGATGTATTTTTTAAAAATAATATCTCCGTATCTATGACTTTTTTGGCATTTTGTTACTATCATTTAAAGATTTAGTTGTCAGAATATTTTTTTATTTTTTCGTTTCTATACATATAACATCTTACTTAATGAAATTATATATACATATATATATATTGTTATGACATTTCTTTCAGTAATAAATCATATGTTTTTTGTTATATAGTATAGATGCAGTTTAAAATTAATTTAAATCAGTTTAGAACTTTTCAAAGAAATGTTTCTTTAATTTTTAATCTTATTCAAGCGATATCTATTCAATGCGTTTTTAAGTGATTGTAAAATATTGCTGCAAGATTTAAAAGTAAATATTTGTTCAATCACGAGAAAATTAGCTATTAATCATGAATTACTAATAATTCTTTTAAATTTTGGAGCAATATATATATAATATCAAATGAATGAATGAGCAATACTAATCAGTCAATTTACTCTCTTCCTCTTGTCGCTCGTATTTTTTTTATATTATATTAGTCGCGGTTTTGTACATAACGTAGAAATGCATTTAAGAGAGTACTGATATCATTTAAGTATTTTTTCCATTTATATACATTACATTAGAAAATATTTTTGCACGTGAAACGCTATTGATTAGAATTTACCAAAGCTGTAATAAAGACAAACTGCGAAACATGACAGAACATTGCGATAACACAATAGAAAAATGATTAATTAGGAAAATCAAAAATATTATTGGATATATTGTTATAAAAAATTTGTATGTTTATTGCACAGTTAACTTTCTAGGAAAATTTAATTCATGAAAAAAATTGTATATGAATAGGGCTTCCAAAATCAAAACTTCTAACTAAAAAAATATATAAAAATAAAAAAAAAAATTTTCTATATATTTTTACATAATTGTTTATAAAAAAACTTTTACATAATATAATGTGCAAAGTATATTTTATTCTATTTTCGATTCTATTTTTCATATTATATATATTGATGAAGAGATTCAGTGAAATAAAATGCAAAAAATTGAAATTTTATAAAAAACATTTTTGATTAACAATAAAAGTCTTTAGATACAAATTTTAATCGATAGATCTTATATTATTAAAAATAACAAAAATATTTAGCTAAGAAGATAATGTATACAATAAATTATATAAGAAAACATATGTGATTTACGATAAAAAATTGTATCGTAAGTGCCTTGATCGATTTTATGCTATTCATATATTACACAAGAATATTAAAAAATGAAAAAAGCGTTGATGATTCTTTGAATATGTATCACGTGCAATATTGATCTTTTTAAAAAAAAAACAAAAAATTATAATTTTTTGTGCTCAATATGAATTAAAATAAACTATATGAATATTTTAAAAGAAATTATAAAGTAGTAATTAAGGATTTAAAAAAATTTTTAAAAATAATGAATATAAATCTTTTCATTATTTTTATTTAGAATTTAATACTAATAGAATATAATATATATAGTATATAGAACGAAATTAATGAGAATCATCGTCTTTAATGAAAAATCATCGAAATATTAAATAATATTTCAACATATTCAATGTAAATCTATAAAGTATTTAAATTTTCTTTTTATAAAGTGGTGTCCTATTTATCTTTCCAATATATGAGCACAAAAAATTATATATTACATAAACGATTATTATCTTTCTTCGGAACAAATTGTTCCTATGAGAAATTAAAATCGTGCGAAGGATATTATATCTATAATATTTACATTCTTAGATAAGTGATAAGCAATAATTCTTATTTTGTACAAGAAATTTTATTAAAACAGTTTACTTTTCTAAGAGGTAATAAATATATCGGATAAAGTATGTATATTATGTATATTATGTATATATATTTATATGTATATATATATATATATATATATATATATATATATATATACATATATATATACTTTTAAATAAACATCATTAAAGTGCAGTATGAATTAGCATATATAACGATTTTCCAATAATAAAAAAAAAAGCATATATTTGTTTAAGGATTCTACAATTTTTCTGAATAAAGGTACGATATTTTTGGAACCGCTAATTATTTGATTTTTACTTTTATTTTTTCCATTCCATTTTTTATTTATCTTACATGTAATTCATATTTATCTTGCATGTACATAAAATAATATGGTTCAACAAGGTTTGTTCTAATATCAATAATGTCTCTGTAGAATTCTTAAATAATAAAAATATGTTATTATTTAATTTAAATTTATTTAAACCTAGGCCTCTTATTTAAATTAAGATAAATGATTTGTATTAACATTATTAAAAAATAATTGAAATATCACTTTATATTTTATATTTGAGAATGAAATTTTATGTTGTTTATAAGAACGTTCATTCTTTTGACACAGAAGTTTTTTTGTTGTTTCAGGTAAAAGAGAATGATGGATTGCCACAAGTTGTTTGTATACGATGTTTGGGCACACTGGAATTTCTATGCGATTTTTACGAGCGTTGTCATCTTACGCAAAAGGAATTTTTAAAAACTGTAAGATATATATATATATTATAATACTTACTTATAATACTAATAATTATATATATTATATTATAATATAATAT